CGAATCATTTCTAGTGATTGACTAGTACTGTGTGCTGACTTGACTTTTCCAGATCTGGAACGTAACAAGGAGTTCCAATATCTCAATCGGAAGAAACAGTACGAGGAAATCTTGCTCCTGAAACAGCGTGTCGAAGAGCTCGAGGAGGCCTCGTCAGGATTTGACGGTGCATCTTGGGATGATGAGTGTTTGCCGGCAGTGCCTGCGCGTAAGAGAAGGAGGTCTTGATAGGGGAGATGCTCATGGCCAATCGCGAGCTTAATCTGACATTAGCCTCGTTATACAACAGAAATTCTTTGGGTTACGGGCATGCGTGGTTGAAGGACCGGGAGTTTAGGTGCTCAGTAGCCATACTGATTTCAATAAAGCTTGATACAACTGAGACACTAGACAATAAGGCCGAGGCAAGTGCGTCGATCGGGGCGCCGCGGCGTACCGGGCCGCATCCCTGCTTGCCTTTCGCCACCATCATCATGTACAACCTTCAATGCAGCGCCCGCCCCGTGCATGTTTCTTTACTACAGAACTGTCCATAATCTGACTATTTCCAAAGAACAGACACCACCCTAGGTACACCCAAGCTCGTCTCTTGACTACACATGATGTCCAAGTAAAAGGCTGGAGTCCCCGACCACTGAGCCGACACCTATGCATCCGAGCCGCCCGCGTTCATTTCCCAGTGCGCTTCAACGAATATGTAGAAGCAGAACTGTATGGCTGAACCGATATCTATGCGACTCTTCATATGGCCAACACGTCTGGAGCGCAACGCGCTTGGCAAAGGCAGAGTCGGAAATTCTTCACTAGTTGAATGGGATGGTTCGGCTACGACTGGTCATGTACGCGCTCGCTCAATTTCTATGTCCACCAGTCGACTAGACGGCTTCCGGAGTTGGCGGAAAATGATCATAGTATTGATTGAATCCGGCTTTGTGTAATTCGTCTTCTGGGTCTGTTTCTCGCCATTCATTACGAGATCCCGGTCTAAATTAAATCTCAGGGTGTTCACGTACTTCCCATCTGTCGGAGGCCCGGTAGTTTTCAGTTTCCTCCGATCTACGGTGCTTAATTCTGTCGGAAATCAGATCGTGGTGAGTTTTTGTTGATGTTTCAAACTAAGCTAGGCCTCACACAGGTGATCATTATGACAGGCTTATATCCTCTTGCGATCATCATCTTCGTGCAACGGTAGCCAGCAGCGCTTGCTGCACAAGTAGGGCGTGTTTACGGAGCGTAGCTGAAGCGTCTGGTTCACTGTCCCCGACTCTGAGCGTGCAAAGCACTCGGGATCATCTATCCACCTCCGATACCGAGACCACCCTTGGCATATTGTAGCATGAATCAAACTCTACCGGACTAAAACTCTGTATCAGTAAGTACGCTGGGTAGAGTAAGACTAAAATCCAAGCCACTTCTACGATGCTTCTCATGGCCCTCCTTGTTCCTCTTTTGGAAGGACGAGCTGCTTCTATCGTTAGCGCGGCTGTATGAAACGCGGTTCACTGGTAGTCTCTTTTCGAACAGAGGTAACTCGCGTGATCGGGTATTTTGGGTTGCCCGAATTGACAAAAATTTCAAAAGATTCAACATCTACGATGCATTGTAACTCGTTGTCTCTCGTGACGCGTTCCCTAAGACTTTTTCAGGTTTCCGCCTTCAGATCCTAACCATTTGGAGCGCAATCGACCTTTTCTTTCTTCCGCGGACTATACTCTTAGTGTCCTTCGAACCTGATGGCGTTTATTGCCTCAGATTTTTTTCAAAATTTCTTGACTCCAGCACTGGTATACAACCAGAAAGAGACAATGTCTACAAACTGTGTGCAACCTGTTCGCGGAAACGCGTTCGTGCAGCACCAATGCTGCATTGGATGCGACCTTGTCCAACAGCTCACCGTCTAGATTGAAGGTGCGGCTGTGGTATCTATCAAACATCCGATGTTACCGTCTGATTAGGTCGCTCTTGAATTGCCTCTTTGCAGGATCCCTTGTTTCAATAACACTTCTTTTTCGGATTCTTCTGGGGCTCGCTTCGCCACCATCCAGGACCGTTTCGAACACGCTTCTCGACGGAATCCAGAGCCTAGTAAAAGTACACTAGCGCCTGCGTTACGTCTCCTCGCTCGTCCGACGCACGAGCGCACGATGTCGCATATTCTCAATCCCTTTGGTCTTTATGTGAGTAGGTACCCTCGCGGTGCAGAGTTAATATTTTGCTGAGGAAGGTGCACTTTCTCTAGGCATTCCGAGGAATCAGAGTACTAGGCCCTACCAAAGCGTTTGTTATGTCAACTCAACGACACCACGCCGAGGGATGACAAAAAACCGTACTATTAGTTATTTGTTAACGACTGAATTCGGTACCGTTTTCAGTTATTATGCTGTGTTTGCAATTTCTTCGACAAAAAACAACTAAAATCGGTAACCCTTGTACATAATGACTAGAATTGGAATGATAGGTGCGCCCGACCCGCTATTTCCTTATTTGGTAGGACGAAGGGTCCCCGATGTGGCGCAGTTTGTGGTGATTGATGTATTCCGGTTAGGATTGGGTTAGGTTGGTTAGGCGGGAGGTTAGGGTAGGTTGGGGACGCTTCGGCGCGCCCTAGCGCGCCCTACACTTAGGCTTCGGTTCCCGAAGCCTAAGTTCTCGGGGTTAGGGGTTCGGGTTCGGGGTTCGGGTGGTGGGAATATATCTTCTCGGGGGTCTGGGGTCTCCCCAGCACTTGGTTCAGGCATTTCCGCTCACTGGGTCAGCCCGGACAGTGCGTCGGGAGGTGCTGTACCAATTTCAGTTATCGGGATGCCGGCGAAGCCCTGTCTCCCCGATTTCAGTTATTTTACACATTTCAGTCAATGTACATAATAACTAATAGTACGTATTTTGTATATACTCCACCACGCCTGCAATGTGATGGTTATAGAGGAAAGTCGCGTCGTAAAGGCACCTCATCGCGCGTCGCGGTGCAGTTCCAGGTTTCGGGACACGAGTGGTTGTCGTGTCAACTGATGCGACGTCAGTGGAGATCAACCATGTATGGGCCCCCTGCATGTCGACTAGGATGGGATTATGAGAAAAAGGCCAGAAGTTCAACGACTGGTTCACGTGTTCACGCGGCTCAGCAAGCCAAATGTTCCTTGCTCCTCGCATGATCTCGAAGCACTTATGCCATGGGCAACGGCGCTAATAGTAACATCCTATCCTTCGTGCTTCCGATCACGCATGAAACACGTTGCTCTGAACTTGTGCCGGTGAAGTAGAACAAGAAATGGATTCTCCAACCGTGCCTCGAGTTTCAACCTTGATATCTGACGCCTCAACGTCTTGTTGAGCCTGATGAAGATTCTGGGATGCGCGGGCAACTCGAGTATGACCACCGCCAGTGGCGCTACTCCTGGCGCTACTCTTGAACGGTATTGCTTGGGCGCAGTTCTCACGGCTGTGAGATATCGACGAAGAACCCTGCCATCACATAGGCGCGTGCCCGTATGTTTCCGTTTCCCAATGTAGTTCTGCTCATGGACCATTGATGTCGGGAAACAAATATACCTCAGGTTCGAAAGAGTTGAGCCCGTTCCCAAAGGACTACTCCCGGAGGAGAGCCACTGGCGGGTTACTGGCGAGCAGTATTTAAACGAAGAGGTTTGAGCTCTCTACTCATCACCAGCTCTCTCAAGCTTCAGTGCTCTCTCAGCCTTCACAGCCCATTTACAACCATGGTCTTCTCTTTCTCCAAGCTTTTGGCACTCGCCACTCTTATCAGCGCCGCCCAAGCCTTCAGTGGTGACGGTGCGTTCGTTCTTCACCTAGTTCGTCTCATGCTGACGTCGGCTAGCCACCTACTACCTTCCCAACGGTGGCTACGGCGCCTGCGGACAAAAACTCCAGAACTCAGACCACGTCGTCGCGTTGTCCTCCGCGCAATACAACAACGGCGCTAACTGCGGACGCCACATCAAAGTTAACTGTACATTCATCCCACAGACCGTCGCGATTTGCATCTCACAAATGACTCCTAGACAATGGCAAGAGCGTTACTGCCAAGGTTGCTGACCTCTGCCCGGGATGCGCCAGTGGATCTGTAGACCTTGCTGAGTCTGCCTTCAAAGTCCTCGCTCCCTTGGACAAGGGCCGCATCCGAGTGACGTGGAACTATGTTTAAACGAGTGTATTCACACCAAGTCCTAAACCATAACGTTAGGGTACCCGGTTGTAGAGTTCGAACTACATAGGTCTCCTCAGACTCCCACGTTGCCTTTGCCAGTGTATAAGCCAGTTCAATCAGATCCTTCATACGGGCTTGACGAGGTAACACGATGAACACATACCCAATGTGACTGTTCCAGACGCCGTCAGCGGCTTGCCATTGTGTATCGATATCCTCCGGGCGCGGCGCGGTGATCTTCGAGGCATAGAACCTGTCCCGTACGCGATGGCAAGAATCTATAGCGGCCTCTTAGCCACTACACCACGAGCCTTTGGACGGTCAGCGCATCGCGTTACCACCGTCGTTCAAAGGAAACGTTGCGAAAGGCATCCTACTCGCTTCATCAAGCGAAAGGGCATGTCGGAATGTCCTGATGGATTTGTTCGCGCTCGTCAATACTAAGGTCTTCCCCATAACCGCACCGACACTCGAGACAGTATCCCTAGAGAGTTTCAGCATTCGTGGCGTTAGCTATGAGAGAGACCTGTACCCGACGCCCATGAATTCGATCTGAACATTCGACAGAATGCTGAAACCCGCACTGAGGGCACACCGTTTTCGTCGTCGCGGGTATACAATCTGTAGGCGAATGAAACTTGCTCCTCATTATCCCTAGCCTTGAGCACTTCTATACTGGAACGCCAAAAGCCGCCGGAGACCCACAAAGCTTGCAAAAAGCAGTAAATAATGTTAAGATGTTTCCGAAAGCAATTTATTATTTGGCTGAAAATTTTCCGGAAAAAGATTTACTCGGCACGCCACATTGCAAAATGAGTGATCAATACAGAAAGCATTCCGATACGGGGAATCGAACCCCGAGCTGCCGCTGAATACATGCATGCGATGAAAGGCGGCAATGTTAGCCGTTACACCATATCGGACGGAACTTGAACATCAGCCAACCATATCTTCCTTTTAATGTCCGGAAACCTCTCTTTTACTTATTATCAACTGCATAGAATACAATATTCCCTACGCCTAACGTCTCTGCATCGCCTTCGCAGCTACATTATCCGCCGTCGGTAGCATCCCCGCCGCTTGAGGCACCATCGGGTGCGCATGCCCATGATGCCTCGCCCCAATCATCTCCAACTCCTCGAGCAGCGTCTGATGACGATACGCCAATCGCCCGTTAGGCACGTTCGTCTGCAAAATCCATGTTATTAAAGATAGAAAGGAAGCAAAGACGGGCGCATTTACTCTGGCGATATCATTCCCAGCGACACCTGGAAGGTACCACTTATGCCCAATCCAGTGCCGCTTAAGCTCCATCTCGAACCCGCTCTGGATAACCGAGTTGCGCGCGAGTTCGGCGAGGGAGCTTTGCGGCAGTTTATAGATCTGCAGCGAGTCAGCTTCACTTGAGCCACGGTACCCCCGGAGACTCACATGCGCAGCGACGCTGTATTCCTCCAATAACGGTTCCTAAACAACGTCCATGAAGCGTCACCATTACATCCGCCAACTATGGAACATACCTTTGTGAAATGGAACTGCAGCGGGTCATCCGTGCTCAAGCTCACATTCAGCCCAGTTTTGAAAAAGTCCGGGAGTGGGTTCCTCTCATACGTCAAAAACAGCGCATTGTTGCTGAGGGGACTCATGGCGATGCCGATTTGCTTCAAATAGAAAAGGTACTGCAGTGCGGGAACCTTCCGAAGGAGAATCCCGTGGGAAATCGAGTGCGACGTCAAGAAGGCAGAGGTAAGATGGTCCGTGTCGCCTGCCTCGCCGCAGTGCGGGCGGAACACGAAGGTGTCTTGAGGACCGCAGTATAAGCGAGGAACCATTGGAGAGGAAATACTTACTGAAACCACGTTGACGACGCCAGTTGTTCAAGCTCGCCATGTTGGCAAACATGTAGTAGACCCTAGGGGAAGAGTCAACGAGCAAGAACATGCGGAGACAGTGCATCTACCAGTAGGAATATGGCGGCGACTGATCGGTGTTCCATACTCGTGGGTACGGGAACTTCTTGTATATCCGGCGTTCTGCCTTGGACTCGTCGTCAACTGTATCAAAGCCAATGACACGATGAAGGAAGACGTGTAACTCGGGGTGCGTCCTGGGATCCTTAGTAACCTCAAACAGCGGCTTGAACACATCTACAAGCGTCTCAGCTCGAAGGGCGCTATAGGCAGAAGGTCAATAACTCACTAACGACGATATCCTCAAACTTCTCGACAGAACCGTTCATTTTGTACACGTCATACAGACGAGGAATCTGTATGAGCCATCGAACGTTGTGCGAGTAGAGCTTGTGGTTCACGATCCATTTGGCCAATTTATCCCACTCATCCATCGATCGGCCGTAGATGCTAATGCGCCATTCGCAATTCTAACTCCATATCAACAGCCTATACCCGAGATCTGGAAGCGACAGTTACCTGATACTTGCTCTGTTCCAAATCGGTCATGACCTCTGCGAAATAAGGTTAACTGGTGATGAAGGAGACCTGACACATTCACACCTTTCGTGAGTTCGGCCAAATATCGTCCGTTGATGAAGTTGTCTGTCTTTAAAAAGATTTCCCGGAGGCGCGACTCTCCGATAGGATTGTACTTTAGGTTGAACTTGTCAAACCGATGGAATGAGTCGTTATGAGCATGCATGTCAAGGGTGTCGATAGACAAATCGTACGCCGTGAGGCCGAGCGAGTCAAAGACCTGTTTGAGCGTGAGCTCAGCTCCATCACGGTAAATAACGACATCGTCGGGGCTGCGCTTCATCTTGGACTTGATAAAGCGCAATAAATGCTTCTGGTTCATACTGCTGGAGTGATGAACGTGGGTATCGACTTTACGGAGGTTGTAGAAGTCTCTTCAAGGCTCGTCAGAGACGTGTTTGAAAAGAGAACAGGGATAGTGCACCTGTGAGGAACACGCTTCATATCTGCCAGCTCCTGATATTCGTTGAGAAGGGTGTACATATCAAATTTGCTCGACAGGTAGCGGAGTCGTCTAAACGCAAAGCTTTTCGTGGGTCCATCTGATATGACGCCGAGGATATAGTCTAAATCGACGAAATACTCTCTGATGGTTGGTATATCGTAAAGTGGGGTTTTTTCGTCACCTGTACAACTTATTAGTAGGCATTGGGAGAATATCTGGGACCAACGCGTACTCTTCTCCGGGTCATAAACCTGGTAGACGCCCTTGTCGTCGATATCAAATGTCCAAGGATGTTCCCGGGGATACTGCAATCCTCGAACCTAAACTCCTTGGAAGCATGGGTACCATCGGTGCTGATTACTTCGTCGTCCTTCCAATGCCAATGGGGCGGGGGTGGACTGGGGTAGACTTTCCAGGGCTCAAACGGTGGTTGTGCAGTGGCGTCCGGTTCGTCCGGGATGGCCACGTCTGGCCGAACGCCGTTCACATCGGCGCACTTGCTAGAGAAGCCCTTGAAGTCCTGGTCGTGGTCCTTGGGGTTGTCCCGAGACGTTGACGCGACTTGAGAATATATTTGTCACGAAGGTCTAGACAGCGCTGGAGAGACTGGAAGAGATGTGCGAGTTCGAGGTTTAATGGAGCCTCTGTATCTCGTTAGCCATTTCGTTCAAGGTTGAGGCAAGGTCTTGTACCGGGGAGATGTCCCTCTAAGACAGACTTTTCTAGGATTTCCTCGTCCTCGTCTATAATTGCGCTACCACCGTGATGATCACCAGCTGCAGAACCAGTCATACCGGGGCCCAGAAAACCGTGCACAAAAGAAGCGGCACCCTCAGAGTGCGCGTCCGATCCTCGTCGATTAGCCCAGATTTTTTCGTCAATCTAGACAAGGCTTCAACAGTCCGTCTTTTGTTATTGCAGACACTGCCTTACGTGTTGCTGGTGGCGTTCTTCAGGATAGCCGAAAAAACCGTCTCGGGATTCCGGAATCGCCAAGGGAGGTGTTCCCCTGCCTGTGGGCATAGATGTAGATTCTTCAGAGGAATGCTGGGAATGGGTCATTTTGTGCAGATGATGGCAGGAAGCAGCTCGCGATCTTGTGCCACGTTCTTCGGTGATCGGCAATATAATTTCAAATTGCTTGGCAGCTAAATTTGGACCTTTGCCTCGAGCTATGACTTGACCTAGGGTTGAAAGGCGCGCAGACAGCTTCCTCTTACTTATATTCCGTCCTCGTCGTCTTCGCCGCCTGCTTCTAGCTGCGCATTGTAATAAATCGAGGCTCTTCTCTCCTCTCATGTGCTCACGACGCTACCCTCTGAATCACGTCGGCTGCACATTCTCCTCTAGACATTCCGTCTCGATCCCGCCTTGTCTCACAGAACATCTTTGGTGTCTGAATCTCTCTGTGATCCTCGTGAACACCGTGCGCCGATTCCTTCACTAAACTGTAGCTAGTAAGACCATTATTCCCTGGCGCTCGTGTTCCTTTTTACAGCAAGCGAGGCGTGCCGTACGCGTTTACCATAGGAAGACTTCGTTGCGCAACATTCAAAGGACACTAAGTACGACGTAGTTGCCAGTTGGATCATCGAAGACTCTGAGAACGCGACACATACTCTCTCACTCAGGCTCGTTCATGTGGTGTTCAGTGGTCCTCTGACTCGAGACCTCCAGATCCAATTTTACGTGAAGTATAACTGACCATCTGTGGACCTACGGTAACCTCGAGCCTTAGTGAACATTTCGTTAGGCATTGGGGTCATTGACTGTCAGTGATTCGGATTGACTCTGTCAATTGTCAAAAATCAGCCTATTGAATGTCTTCAAATTTGTCTAACGAGAAAAGCGAGAAGAGATAGCCGCGACCGCCGAAAAGCTGAAGCTGTGGCCACCTGCACCCAATGTCAGTCAATCCACCTCAATATCTATCAACAGCATTGGGAAAGAAGTGCCAAATAACAGGATGGATTGAGTCCTGTTGATCGATATGTTGGATCGTGCCAACCGCGATCAACCAGTCCCAACGGACAGCACAGAGGAGCCTTAACTGCGCTAACATCATTATCGTTGGGTACACAGCTAACTCATCTAAGCAATCCTAGTACTATATTCGTTCACAAGTCCGGAAAGTTGCGAGATTATACTTTGATACGTACAGCTAGTACTTACTAAACCCACTTTAGACCACGATAGGAAAACAGTCCGTTACTGTACATTCTTCTAAGCCCCATACAGAAAGAAGTCCTTGCTCGCGCTTCATGAACTCGCACGCCGCAATATAACTATAATCCCATCCGAATGAGCAGAGAAGATCGCATCCACAACTACCGAATCGTCCGGCGACTCTTGCGGGGGCGTCACACGCACTACCGTCTTCGCAGGCCGTGGCCCAAGGACGCTATTCCTCCGATTGTTCTTCGCGCGCGTGTTCCGGCCCCCATTCCGGATCCGCGGCAACGGTTCGGGAGACGGTCTGTACACTCACATGAGCACAAGACCTAAGCAAAAACGAGGATGGGAAACGCACTCCTCCGACTCCCTGGCCTCCTTCAACAGCGCAAACTTGCCAAACCCAAAACCGCCATCGCTCGGCTGCCCCGTCTCGTTAACTCCCCAGCCTTTGACGAGATTGATCCAGTCCCGGACGTTCGTCTCGGAATTCCGGGATACGTAGTCGAAGAAGCTGCGCCCCAGACTATCGCCGGAGTCGATGAGCAGGTCATTTGAGCAATAAAGGATGTTGCAGCGCAGCGTAAAGCGGTCGAGGATTAATGCGGTGCGAAATGATTGAGAAGGGAGATGGTTGTAGGTTATCTCTGAATTGTTGTCCTCGTCGTCGTCGTCGAACATGCGTGGGCTTGGTGGTAGTGGCGAAGGGTCGTGCCACCGCTGAAAGCGTCAGCACAGTGTGAAAGTAAAGGAATAGGACGTACTCGAAGCTGGAAAGACTCGGATACTGGTGCGAGAACGGTGATTTCCTGCGCGG